AGGTGCCTGCCTCAAGCAGCAAACGGTGAGGGACAGAGAGTGGGCAAAGCTGGACATGCACTGGGACCTCCTGCCCTTCAGCCCCAAAGCTAATAGGCTGCTCTCAGGCATGCAAAAGAGAGCAGCATCCCATCATCCATGGGGAAGAAAATTCCCCCGCCTTCTGATGGAGCTTTATAAGTGGAATGGAGGAATATGCCGTCTTGTCCTTCACCTCAGGCAACAAAATGCCTTGACCTGGCCCTGCCCTCAAAGCATCCCCACCACACCTGTGTGGAGCCCAGGCAAAGGACAGGAGAGGGCAGAAAATAAATGAACTATAATTTTAAAAAATAACCTAAAGAGAAAAGGGTTTTAAGGCTCAGGGGAATCCACTGGCTTCTGTTTCTAAGCATAAGAGCCTGAGTCTGGGAGGCGGCAAACTCCTCCTCAGCAGAAAAGTCATGCTGCAAGTTGGTGTTGCCTCCTGCCAATGGTGGTCCCCCTCAGTGCTCTGCTCCAGGTGCACAGATGCCCACCTTCAGCCACTCACTCCTGGGAATTAACCACAGAAGACGGACATCATGAATCTCCCTGAGAACTTCTACTTGACTGCTGTTAGCAACAAATACTATATGAGATGGATCATGGGTATGATTCATGAATGTTTTCTTAAAGCCAGACTCTAGGTCTCCTTCTATTATTATTTATGGACATCAGGAAAGAGGGCTCCTTTCAAAGACATTTCCTGCACCACTTAAGGATGTTTCCTATAAGAGTATGAATGATCGGAGCATAGATACTTTTTGACGGTAAGTGAATACCAACTTGGACAAGGGCAGGGAAGAAACAGTTTTTCTGTGGGGATTTAGCTAGTGCAAGAGTCAGGAGCCTGAATCCTGCAGTTGACTGGCAAGAATGGACTGAGGGAGGTGAGGGGCTCCACGACTGAACTGCCACCGATACACAGACGATGCCTCACAGGTTGACTGTGGTATCTGAACCAGGAGTTGCCACGCTGTCTCCTGGCCAGTGCAGTGAACTGGATGAGGGCCAATAAACAGAGTTTGAATGCTAGCAAGACAAAAGCACTGTTGATGAATGGGTCAGAGGAAAAGAAAACTGGTCAATTACTAGTTTTGAATAGGACGTCACCCACCCTGAAGGGGCAGCTGTATAGCTTGGAGAGTTCTCTTCAATTCATCTAGGGATGAGCATTCATCTGGCAAGGCTCATCCAGCTATGTGCAAGACTGCCATGATTCTTCAAGCGAGGCTGATTGAGACTACTGTGGAAATTTGTGCAGATTAGAAAATTTGCACAAATTGAACTGGGAATCAGGAATGTAACAAATGCAAGTGTATTTTTGACTGCTTACAGATAGTTGCAGAGGATATGTGCTTGTGTTTGGAGGTTCCAATGGGCATGTGACACTCTCTGATGCTTTTGTGTGGTGCACAGTTTATAAAAACTTTGTTGGATGGGTGTACATGGAAGTGGGAGAGGGGCAGTCAGGATGTGATTGATACATCTGAGCTGCCGTTGTGCTTAAAATGCCTCTCAAGCTACAGTCACCGTTTGTAGCAAAACTGCAAGGGGACAGCAGAAGAATGAAAAAATTGAAACATTAATAGAATGTTTAATAGGATGCATTAATGGAAGTATTGCTTCCAAACAACGAGAAGTAATTGTTCCCCTATACTCCTCTCTAGTCAGATCTCACCTGGAATACAGTGTCCTGTTCTGAGCACCAAGATTTATGAAAGATGCAGAAAAATTAGGAAGGGTCGAGAAGAGGGCAACAAAATGATCCAGGATTTGGAAACACTGCTGTGTGAGAAGAGACTGAGACAACTGGGTTTGTTCAGCCTTGAGAAAAGAAGACTGAGGGGGAATATGATATCCCTCTGTAAGTACCTCATCGGTTGTCACAAAGAGGAAGGTCACGATCTCTTCTTGCTGATGCCAGAGTGCAGGACACAAAATAATCAAGTCAAGCTGTGACAACCCAGATTCAGGCTAGATATCAGGAAAAGCTTCTTCACTGTCAGAGCAATACAACAGTGGAACCAGCTTCCTA